CTTTTGAATTGTGGTGCTGGAGGAGACCCAAGAGTCCCCTCAACTGAAAGGAGATCAAACCTATCCATTCTGAAGGAAATCAACCCTGAGTGCTCACTGGAAGGACAGATCCTGAAGCTGAGGCTCCAATACTTTGGCCATCTCACGAGAAGAGAAGGCTCCCTGGGAAAGACCCTGATCTTGGGAAAGTGTGAAGGCAAGAGGAGAAGGGGATGACAGAGGATGAGCTGGTTGGACAGTGTCATCGAAGCAACCAACATGAATTTGACACAACTCTGGGAGGCTGTGGAAGATAGGAGGGCCTGGCGTGCTCTGGTCCATGGGGCCACGAAGAGTTGGACATGACTTAACGACTAAACAACCACAACAACTAAGTGACTCAGTACTGTATCAGATGTAAGGGGCTATCCTAGGTTGAATTGCTATAGCACTATGCCACTTATTAAATTAATAAAATAGAAGTTGCCATGGCCTGTGGAATGACAGCCATGGCAAATGGTGGAGAAGGGCATCAGTAATTGAAAGGGGGAGAAATTGGAGCAATTTGAAGTGCTGTCCAGATCCTTCTCAAGAGAGAGGAAACACCCCCTGTGTGAATGGAAGAATCACTCAAGCTTGAGATAAAATAGATTGCACCAAAGATAAAAGCCTTTTAAATGCAACCTAGCTTGCTGCAAATTCCCCTATTTGGTCACAGCCTGAGAAAATGAAAGTAGTGAAGTTATGTTCTCCTGCAGTGCCTGGAAAATAAGCCAGTTCCATTCATACTGTGTTAAAACTCAGTCTGTGGCAGTTACCACCAAAGGAGCACTTTGGGCTGGTACTGTTCACCCCTACAGATAGTAGGCATCCTTCAGTCTCGAAAGACTATGGTAGCGTGCTCTGTATGGAGGACTTGGAACAGCGTCTAGTGTGGCTGAGGAGGCCAATTCGAGAGTGACAATCCCTTCCACACTGGAGACAAATCCAATCTGTCCCCTGTCCAGCTCCCTGGTTTTGCTTCCTTTGTGACTTCCTCTTTGCCTCAGCCTGCTGGACAAGGGTCTCTTCACATTGGGAGAGGCCGTGATGTACTGCCTGCCTCCAGGCTGAACGATCAGATGTCAGAGTTTCCCATCTGTTGAGGTCTATTCCTAAGGCCTTCAGATCCCGCTTGCAGATATCCTTGTATCGCAGCTGTGGTCTCCCTCTGGGGCGATTTCCCTGCACTAATTCTCCATACAGGAGATCCTTTGGAATCCGACCATCAGCCATTCTCACAACGTGCCCAAGCCAGCGTAGACGTCGCTGTTTCAGTAATGTATGCATGCTGAAAATTCCAGCTCGTTCTAGGACTACTCTATTTGGAGCTCTGTCCTGCCAGGTGATACCAAAAATCCGTCGTAGGCAACGCATATGGAAGGGGTTCAGCTTCCTCTCCTGCCGGGCACAAAGGGTCCAGGACTCGCTGCAGTACAGGAGTGTGCTCAGGACACAGGCTCTATAGACCTGGATCTTGGTATGTGTTGTCAGTTTCTTATTGAGCCATCAGTTTCTTATTGAGCCAACCCCTACAGAAGGCTAGCATTATGCCTCTTGCTGTAACCCAACAGTGATTTGTAGCTACCATGATCCCATTGATAGTGCTGGCTGGAAATGATGGGAGTTGTAGTTACAAACACATTTGGAGAGCACATTTGGTTTACACCTTAAATCACTTCTTTACAAATTATCCGTTTTGCCAGTTTACTGTTTCTGTGTCTGACATACAAATGCTCTTTTTGTCTTTGTACTCAAATCGATTGCATTATATGTCAATGAAGCATTCATATAATGTAATCTAGAATAGATTCTGGACTCATAATTTTAAAAAGTCCCAGCTTGCCCAAGAAAATTCTATAGCATAGTTATTGGCAAGTCGATTATTAAACAAGCAGTTACAATGGTTTTTCTCATTGCCCTGTTTTCATGATTCATGTTCATCCTATTCTGAAAAGTACAATTTCCACACCAAGAAGAGCATAAATCTTTTGAGCTCTTAACAGACACTGGCGGGAAGACTGAAACAGGTATTTCAGACCAGCACTGTCCTTCTGCCAGACAAGGGTTAATTAATATGCCTAGGATAACTCCAGTTCTTTTCTTGAAGCTTTGGGACTTCTTCTGATACATTTATTATCTCAATGAGGTTCTCCAGTCATGGACTTACATTGAATTTTTTTAATCCCTGCCACCTTTTTAACTATGACGATTCTGTGTTCCAGAAAAGTTACATGAAGAAATGTGTTTGCTGTGAGATTTCATTGTCCATGTATCTGTGATTTATAAAAAGGAATCCAAGTCACCAGTGTAGTATCATTTTTATTTGAGCATCTCTCCAAGCATTGGTTTGGATCTAAGGTACTATGAGCCATCTTCGTTCTTTATAGCAGGCCTTTCCTGCCTTATTTCCCTGTGCAGCCCCCCATATTCATACCCAACCATCACTGAATGTTGGGGATTCTTCCAGGATTCTGTGTCATTTATCATGCAGGCTGGGGAGATGGTTAACAGCTCTCTCCTCTAGAGTGCAAATGGTCATGCTTTCCACTCCAACATGGATGACCTGGCATCCAAGCTGTTGCTCTTTTTTCAATGGCCATACAGTGAGGAAAAAAATCTCTTGTCTGTTATTGGTTCATAAAAAGTCATTCCCTACACACCATCTCAAGTGAAATGTGAGACTGTCTGCTGCAGTGAATAATAGGCAATCATCTGTAATCGCTTACACAGTCTGACAAAACACTAACCAACTCCCAAAAAATGCTTCTGGGATTTAATCCCTATTGTTACGGGTTAAGGTGGGGGATTCTTGTATAAGACCTAAGACCCCATGAAAATATTTTTCATGATGCAATACATCATACTGCCTTTTTTATTCATTGACAAAATACTACCCTGCCCCATAAATATAACCAAATTATTCCATGAAGAAAAACAGGCCCACAAGAAACTACTTTAGTGGAGAAATTTGTTCCCAAGAGGAAGTATTAAGAACCTGAGGTAAGGCTAAAAATATTGAAAGACAAACCCTTTTAACAGCTGCTTTTCTCATTTCTCTTTCTGTCGAACCCTTCAATAACATTCCAGCACTTTCCCCTTTTACCCCCTTCCTAACAACTTCCTATTACTTGATCCTTACTACCCTCTTGCAGTTCTGAAAGATTTTGGCTGACATCTGGTGTCTACTAAATAAAGTTTGTCAATACTTTGGGTGTGCAAAAGTTGAATTCAGCAGAGCAAGTGGTGCTCTCATTTAGTGGCTTTGGGTAAGCAAAGATGGAATGTGAGGTGTTTGCATGTATCAGAGATATAAATGCTATTGAAATGGTAGAAGAGAGGTGGGGAATGAAAATCTAGCATATCATACAAAAGTGGATAGCTTGTTTGCTGATGAGTGCTCATGAGTAAATAAGACAAGTCAGAAAAACACATGTAGCTTTAGTACAAATATTTCTATGCAGAATGTGGAACCAGACAGTTGCTGGACATAACTGAGGCAAATTCAAGGTTCTTGTTTTCCTTTGTCTAGACCACATCAGTTTTTAACATTTTTTATAAGCCCGTTCATCCTTCTCACTCAGAATTACACTGTAAGTGATGAAGCTGTTGGTAGTCATGTTCTTTTATTCTAACGTGTTTAATTCAGTTACCTGAGCAGTCCTACAGGATAGAGAACATACAGAGCAAAATTTTGCTTGGCAATGTTGGAGGAAGCTATTTATTCTAAACATGTGAATATAAAGTCATTACTCTTTGGGTGACCCTTAACATGATGCCTAATGTTGAATTCTTTTCAGATGTGATTTTGAAGACACTGCTCAGTATCGTGCTTCTGCTATGAATGTAAAAGGAGAGCTGTCAGCCTATGCTTCTTTGGTGGTGAAAAGTAAGTTTACCGCAAGGGCATTCTTTGGAATTCTTTCTTTTGTGTTTATATGAGATATATTGTCTAATCACATGCCACTTCCTGCCATTTGATGTCTACTTAGAATTCTCTTGCTTTTCTTCCATTAGGATATAAGAAAGGAGAGTTTGATGAGAGCTTTTTCCATGCAGGAACTGCCACGTTACCTTTGAGCTGTAAGTTGACAATTGGTTACGATATAATTAAATTAAATTGGTTATGATATAATTAAATGCGGACAGATCACCTGGGAAAGTAATTTTAGTAGCATCTGTTGATGAAAGTTCTCTTTATGGTTTTAAACAGCTTGAGAAAAACGTTATACCATGAGCAGAAGTAGTAAACTTTTGAAACTAGTAATTATGATGTAATGGTTAGAATCCAATATTTTTCAAGAATTTACTTTTGAAGATTTTATTTCAAAAGCTTTTCTCTTTCTTTCTTTCTTTCTTTCTTTCTTTCTTTCTTTCTTTCTTTCTTTCTTTTTTCTGTCTGTCTGTCTGTCTGTTTGTCTTTTTGTTAAAAGCTTCAGTTACGCAGTCAGCATAACTGAAGATCTTATTCTGAGTACATTCAGCCCCTTCACAGATTTCTGCCTTGTGGCAAAGGGTAATTCAGAGAAGCTATGTGTTATGCCATGCAGGGACACCCAAGACAGATAGGTCATAGAGGAAAGTTCTAACTAAACACGATCCACCTGGAGCAGGAACTGGCAAGCCACTCCAGTATCTTTGCCAAGAAAACTCCATGGACAGAAACAAAAGGCTAAAAGATATGATGCTGGAAGATGAGCCCCTCAGGTTGGAAGGTGTCCAACATGCTACTGAGGGAGAGTGGAGGACAAATACAAGTAGCTCCAGAGCTAATGAAGTGGATGGGCCAAAGCCGAAAGGACGCTCAGCTGTGGACGTG